TGGAAAACACTTCGTTACAGAGACTCGTGTTATAAAAACCAGTGGAAAATACTGCGTTATAGAGACTCGCGTTATAAAAACCAGTGGAAAACACTGCGTCATAGAGACTCACGTTATAAAAAGCAGTGGAAAACACTGCGTTATAGAAACTCACGTTATAAAAAGCAGTGGAAAACACTGCGTTATAGAAACTCACTTAATAAAAACCAGTGGAAAACACTGCGTTATAGAGACTCACATACAAACCAGTGGAAAACACTGCGTTACAGAAACTCACGTTATAAAAACCAGTGGAAAACACTGCGTTATAGAGACTCACATGATTAAAAACCAGTGATACAATGGCATTGAAGCAGTTAGGAGGTAGAGAGTTTGGATTCACAATCAGGAAGGTATTTATTTGGATAGCAATTGGTCATATTATTCATTATAATATTTGGCGTAATAGTTTTCTGTGATCATTCGAATCAGGAAAGAGTGTAAAATACATACAATAAGGGATAACGTGCATGAGTATTTGCGTCGCTAAGAGATGACATAAACCCTGCCTGTGAGGAGACGTTTTTCTTAAGCAATACACGCTACTATAAGCCCAGTAGCTGGAATGATACCACAGGTTCTTCCATTTCTCATATATACTATCAAGCGATTTTTTTTTTTTCCAGAGTAATAGCTTACTTTTCTGGTCACTGGCAGCACACGCACAAGCAGAGTCCCTCGTACCCTGGCCACACCGTTACCAGCCTAAAGATTTCTATCGAGATGGTTCCACAGAATGAAAGCATGGCAGCCCAGCACAGATGCCCAACCTCACCGCTTTGCATACGCGAATCGGACCAAGACTGACGCCAAGCCCCGAGAGAAAATGCCTTCGTGACGGCACCGAGGCCGCCATCTTCGCTTTGCTAAACCGGGGAAATGACTCCAAGCAAGAGCCAAAATCCAATGGTTTGGGTCCCCTCTGGACCGCCGTTGGGGCTCGTGCAGAATAAGGGTTACAGGTTCCCTGCGGCTTGCACCCCAATAGCTCCGTCCCCCAGCTCGTTCTCTCTCTCTCCTTGTAGATCGATCAGCCCGACTTCCAGATACCAGCCGAATGGAACACCAAGGACAGGAAGCCCAAAGCTGAGGTACGGTATTACTACACCAGGTTTATTTAAGAGTTTGTGTCTTAATTAGCAGCCTCCCTTCACCAAGACAAATCCTGGAGCAGTTAAATAATAATCATTCTTTACACTTATAGAGGCTTTTCTGGACACTCCGCTCAAAGCGCTTTACAGGTCATCGGGATCCCCTCCACCACCACCAGTGTGCAGCCCCACCTGGATGATGCTCCAGTCCTCTCCCCACACACCAGCTCTCAGTGGGGAGGAGAGCAGAGTGATGAAGCCAGTTCAGAGATGGGGATTATTAGGAGGCCAGAATTGGTAAAGGATAATGAGAAATTGGGCCAGGACACCAGGGTAACACCTCTACTCGTTTATAGAAACACTCTGGGATTTTTAATGATCACCGGGAGTCAGGACCTCAGATTTATGTCCTATCTGGAGGACGGCACATTTTTATAGTATAGTGTCCCCATCACTATACTGGGGGATTAGGATCCACACAGACTGCAGGATGAGCGCCTCTTACTGGCCAAACTAACACATCTCTTCCAGCAGCAACCTTAGTTTTTCCCAGGAGGTCTCCCATCCAGGTACTGACCAGGCTCACACCTGCTGAGCTCCAGTGGGGCTGCCAGTTGTGAGCTGCAGAGTGATAGAGCTGCTGGCACTTATAAGTTGACCTTGAAAGTCAGATCTCCTGATTTCCAGGAGTCCAGGATTTCCGAGGCCAAGCACAGTAAAAGAGTGCAGCTGCCAGAAATCAGGAGGATGACCGATGCCAGTGATTGGGTCTCTGGAGAATAGCACACTGGCTGGGTCTGGAGGATTGATAGGAGTGATGGTGTGGGGAGGGGAAAGGGAAAACGAGCCCACAATGCATCACTGTCGGAGAAGAAATCCTGGGTGTGGCACGGGATGATGGGAATGTTGTTCTTTGGCGTTGTTGCCAAGCCAAGATCTGACCCTGCAAGGAGCTCAAGACCCGTAGATCCCTCTCCCAGCGACTCTGTCTCTCTTCCAGGTTGTGCGCATATACATCTCCTATCTGGTGTCTCTGCTCTCCCTGCTCGGGATCCAGTCGAGCCCGACGTCCATGCCCACAGGCCTGGTCACCGCCTTCGCCTCGGAGCTGAGTCGAGCCGCCACCCCGTTGAGGGACAGGCAGGCTCGGGGCCTGCTCTATCAGCGCACTACCATCGCACAGCTCCAGGTTGGCCTCATTCGCTCCCCCACCGGCTGGGTCTGGTCTTGTGTGATGTTTGTGGTCATTATGGCGTGTGGTGACTAAAACGGCTATATTACTGGTGCATTTGAACTATATCGCCTAACTGTCTGTTTGTCTTCCTGCTTCCCTATATTATCTCGATGATGAGCAGTTCAAGTAGGGAGCTGAGTCAGCACGCTTAGGCTGCAAAGGAACAAGGAAAGGGTTATTCCCTGCTGAAAAGAGAAGAAAAGAAACAACGTTTTGGCTGTGGAGCCTTCTTCGGGTGTCAAGTCCACAGCCGAAACATTGTGTTTCTTTTCTTCTGTTTTCAGCAGGGAATAACCCTTTCCTTGTTCCTTTTCAGCCTAAGCATGCTGACGCAGCTCCCAACTTGAACTGCTATCATCGAGATAATATAGGGAAGTTCCTTATCTAGAGGATGTAAACTAGATGTTTTGGGGATTCCTGGCTGAATCCTCACTTGAGAGTTTACAATATGGCTTCCTAAAAGTTCTCCCTGGGGTCAGTGGGTGGCCGTAATTCTTTCTGCTCCCCCGATCGGCTCTGCAGTGCTGCACTTCAGTGGGGGGTGGATGATGTGGGTTCCCTCTTATGTACAACGCTTGAGGGTAAAGAGTGCTATCCGTTTTTTTAGGAGGCTGCCCCAGCGGTTGATTGGCTGAGCAGCTTGGAAGCAACTTTTCATCCCATCCAGCTCAACAAATCAGATGTCATCTTCGTGCACGACTTCCCTTACCTCATCAGTATGTCTCGGAGTGTCAGCAACTGGTATAAACTGTAAGGATGACCAATCTCATGAGATAATGCAGATCTTAATGTAGACCATAGAGACACTCCTCACACACAGAGATTAATACAGACCCTAATATAGACCCTAGAGACACACTTCACAGACAGAGATTAATACAGACACTAATATAGACCCTAGAGTCACACTTGTCCCAGAGATAGTATAGACCCTAATATAAATCCTAGAAACACTTGAGACATACAGACACTCATCCAGAACCTAGAGTTAAACCTAACCAGGTACTGAGAAATGGGCACATTTTCTGCAAGGATTAATACAGGCGCTATCTCTTTCAGGGGGACCGTTCACTCTTACATGATTCTCAGCCTCCTCCATACTGTCCTTCCTGCTCTGGATTCCAGATTCACTGAACTTCGGCTGAACCTGTCTAACGCCCTGGAAGACACAAGGGAGGTGAGTTTCTGTCTCTCTCTGTGTTTGTAAAACTGTGCTGATGTGACTGCTAACCTGGGGAACCAGGGGAAGATATTTCAAGTGTTTGGTTCAGTTGTATGGTGGTCTGTGGCCTCTGTGTCTCTCCACTCACCTTTTCCACCCACTTCAGAGAGCCCCCCGCTGGCAGGAGTGTGTTTCACAGACGGAGAGGGTATTTGAATCGGCCCTGGGAGCGATGTTCATCGACCAAACTTTCACGGCACCGACACAGGAAGAGGTGAGAACGACATACAGATGGGGAACGAGAGATTTGTCAGAGAAGGCGAAACAGCCCCTTGCTTGGAATGTGTTTTAAGCTGACATTTCCCAGCAGGCAGAAGATTTGATCTCCAACATCTACTCATCCCTGAAGGCCAAACTTGTTGATCTACAGTGGAAGGATGCAGAGACCAAATCCATTGCTCTGGAAAAGGTACGATAAGGAGGAGCCTGCGATAACCTCCCCACTGTCTTACTCTGCTGTGTTAAATGACGACTGTGTGTATGCCACATAATCATCTCCACCCTCTCTCTGGACAGATTCAGTCTCTTCCTCCCAGGCTCGCTAAATATCCAGGAATCCTAGATAGGAGAAAATTGAACGAGCATTACTCTCAGGTAAATCTAAATAAATGTTTCTATATATATATGAAGGCTGCACCAGCATGGTGGAGTATATAGCCCTGGGGCCCAGGGTTCAGTTCCTGGGGTGCTGTCTGTGTGGAGTCTGCATGTTCTCCCCATGTTTGTGTGGGTTTCCTCCTGGTGCTCGAGTTTCCTCCCGCAGTCCAAAGACATGCTGGTGGGTTAACTGGCTTCTGGGAAAACGGGCCCGAGGTGTGAGTGTCTGCGCCTGTCTGCCCTTGTGATGGACTGGCGTCCCGTCTGGGATGTATCCTGCCTTGCGCCCATTGCTTGCTGGGATAGGCTCTAACTCCCCCGTGACCCTGAACTGGAAGAGGTGGTTAGAAAATGGATGCATATGTTTGTGTGCATACTTTGAGGTGTTTAATTACAGTTTATTTTATGGTATGTATTAACCTGTGTTATATTTCTTCCTGAGATGTGTCCCTCAACTCTGAGGTCTTTATTAATCCCTGTGTCACGTGTATTT